AGACCACTGACACTGACATTGACGCCAGGCTCCCACACAATCGTCTCTCAACGGACCTCCGCCGCCGCCGAAGGCAAGCAGCCCCTGCTCGACGTCCCTGCCGCCGCAAACGACGCACAGAGCCCCTCAGGGACCGGCCTGAGCGGAGTCACCGCAGCAGACGCCGAGAGCGTTCAGGGATCGAAACATTCGAAGCGCAGCTTCATGGGCAAGCGCAGGGCAGCAAGCACTGCGAGCAGCAAGCGTTCTGGACAGCCGTCCAACCACCCCGACAAGACTGCCCAGGCGCCCCCCATGCCTGCCGCGCCCGCCGCCAACCGCGAAGGCTCGACAAGGAGCAAGGCTCGGAAGACGGGAGGGTTCCTTTCGTGCCTGCCATGCTTCGCGCCAAAGGACATCCCTGAAGAGGGTACACCATTGGAGAATGTCAAGCCGGCCGAAAAGATCCCAGAGGGCCGTACATCGCAGTCCACGCCCGCCAGAAAACAATACCCCGTGGCCGCCGCTGAATCAAGCACTGCCGAGTCCAAGGACCAAATTGACGAGAAGGTGCCTACTGAATCGTTCGGCTCGGGCCCTGTTGGGAGATCCAGATCCGGTGGTGACGGTACTGCCGAGCCCACCAAGTCAACCCAAGACAGCCATCCCCAGATCGTACAACGAACCTCGTCTAAGAAGCAACCAGCATCAGAGACACATCAGCCCACGATCCCCGTCCAGCCTGGTCTTCTGCAGACCGACCAACCCGCGATCAACGTCCAAAATCCTACCCCTGGCGCTACCCCTGTCGTCCCCAGCAGGCCTTCAGAAGAGCAGCAGAGAATCATTGAGGATCAAACTGAAGAGCAAAAGCAACTCGATGCTGACATTGAGATGAAGGATGTCCCCATCTCAATCCGCGATGTTCACCAGGAAGGCGAGGACGAGGCTGTCCCACATGCAACTCCTGAGCACCCCAAAATTGATCTCCCTCCCCCGCCACCCCTCGACGAGAGACAACACGCCATCCAGAAGCAGACCTCGGAGCTTTCCGATGTCTCGGAGCCTCAGAAATACCTGCTTGGGCCTATCGAGCCCAGGTTCAAGGGCAAGAAGTGCTTGGTGCTTGATCTTGATGAGACTTTGGTTCACAGCAGCTTTAAGGTATGTCAGGTCAATCGACGTATTGCGATCTGCTTACTAACACCTTGGTAGATACTGCATCAGGCCGACTTTACCATTCCTGTCGAGATCGAAGGCCAGTACCACAATGTATACGTTATCAAGCGTCCAGGCGTAGATCAGTTCATGAAGAGGGTTGGCGAGCTGTATGAGGTTGTCGTGTTTACTGCGTCTGTTTCCAAGGTAAGTTTGTGCACCCGTTCTGCATGCAAAAGCTAATAGTTACAGTACGGTGACCCGCTTCTGGACCAGCTTGATATCCACGGTGTTGTACACCACCGACTTTTCCGAGAAAGTTGTTATAACCACCAGGGCAATTACGTAAAGGTATGTGGTCACGCTCCAACATGTCACCACTTCCCGTGCTGACACGATGCAGGATCTCTCGCAAATCGGTCGTGACTTGAAGGACACCATTATTATCGACAACTCGCCCACGTCGTACATCTTCCACCCGCAACACGCGGTCCCGATCAGCAGCTGGTTCTCTGACGCCCACGATAACGAACTCCTCGATCTGATACCCGTCCTTGAAGACCTCGCTGGCAACCAAGTCAGCGACGTCAGCTTGGTGCTCGATGTTGCTTTGTAAGCGGAGAACGATGGATACCCCTTGCGCATACCCTGTTTTATTGTCTGACATAATCTTCGCGGAGTCTTCGATTCGAAGCTTGTACTTTGTAATCAGCCTTGCAATCTGCGTACGGACGCAGCCTGTGGGACGGCGGTGGTGGGGTGGTCGTCTCGACACGTCAACGGCACACCAGACGAACCAAGGTCCCAGGCTTTTGTCCGTAGCGGTTTCCAATACCCCCTTTTTACGCCAAAATCTGAAAGCAGGCAAACCGGTGTTGGAATGGGAATTCTGAGAAGGTTTTGGGGAAAAAGATAACACTAATACTGGCTTTTATTCATACATACCCCTCCCCCCCCCTCCCCGCACCCGCACCCGCACCCCCAATCTCGATGTAACACGCCTTGCGCTTGAGCGTCGAATACCATCTCCTTTGTACCTACCTACAATTTTTTTTCCCTTTTCCTTGCCTTTAGTATAGCATTTCGGCGGGCTGCACTGCATTAATGCATTTTCCTCGTTATCTCTTGTTGTTGAATGTTGAACATGGGTGAATTTGGGCATGTAGTGTAGAGGGAATGGTGGGCGTGGGCTGGGCCGTCGCAAGACCCCAACTGCCGGAGGCGATGCTGGGAGAGTCTGAGATTGAGACGATACTTGGGCCCGAGGCGATACTGGGCGAGGAAAGGTAAAGAATGGAAGAATTGTAATAGGGAGGGTGTATGTGTGTATGTGTAAGTGTGTGTAAGTGTGTGTGGATGTATATGTCTGTGTGTGAATTCAAAGGGCGTAGATGAAGGCCTGACTGGTGAAGCTTGAGTATGTGTGGCACGGCTGGAAATGACGTTGTTTTGGAGCTTGAGAGTGTTCTTGTAGTACCGAACTCTTGGCTTCACATGCCGACGCCGACTCCACAGGCCCGCGCAACCACTCATCTGCCATGCCCACGTCGAAGGTCCAAACACAGACGTACCCTAGCCACACGACAAGCTCGCTGCCCTGCCACGACCGCAGCTGTCAGAGTCGGAATCAGGCCATTGGAGTCCACACGCCTTTGTGGCCATATAAGCCTGCCTGTCTGCCTCGCCCACCGCCCAGCTGCTGATTGCACACAATCTTCTCGCCACGAAATAGTTACATGGAACAGTAGCAGCGCACCTCGCACTCGCACTCACACGCACACGTCGCCATGGAGAAATACAGCCAATTTCGCGACAAGGGTGCGTACGCTTCCTCTTCCGTAGAAAGTGCAACAGCTCAGCTGATTGTCCCCACGCAGGCACCGCCATCGCCCCCTTCTTGCCCGTCCCGCCCGCGCCCGTGAGCCTCGCGTGGGCGCCCGTCCACGTGTTCCTGTTCCTGGTGCGCCTGCCGTTCGTGCTCTCGCTCTCGGTGCTCTCCTTCGGCCTCCTCGAGTGGCTGCCCGTCGGGGGCACGGTCAGGTACGCGGTGCTGTGGGCGCTGCTGGGCGCGACGGGGGTGTGGTGGGTTGACTTCCAGGTGGACGGCGTCAAGCGCGGGTACGTTACTCGGTCACTAGGTCACTACACACAGCTCGCAACCAACTAACTCTGCTCGTCCAGAAAACTCTCCGCAGCCCAACAGCACCTCCCCCACCCGGGCACCATCATCGCCTCCTCCTTCACCTCCCCGCTCGACCCCCTCTACCTCGCCGGCATCTTCCAGCCCATCTTCACGCGCTCCCACCCGACCACCCGCCGCGTGGAGCGCATCACCCTGCTGCGCGCCATCCTGCTCGCCTTCGCGCCCCCTTCCATCCTCCCCGTGGACGACTCCAAACTCGTCACTCTCGCCTCCCTCGTCGCCGCAAACCCCCACAGCATCATCTGCGTCTTCCCGGAGTGCACCACCACAAACGGCCGCGGCATCCTCCCGCTGAGCCCCAGCCTGCTCAGCGCCAGCGGCGACACCAAAATCTACCCTGTCAATCTGAGATACACGCCCCAGGACGTCACGACGCCTGTCAGCGGCGGCTACGCGAGCTGGCTGTACCGCCTGCTCTCCAAGCCATCGCACCAGATGCGCGTGCGCGTCGCGATGCGCGTGTACAACAGCGCGAGCATCGACTCGCCGGCGAAGAAGCGCGGGGTGGACGAGGCGGCTGCCTCGGGCTACGACGGCGGCGTCTTCGACTCGGCCGAGATGCGCAACGGCGCGCTGGCGCAGGACGTGTTGGGCATGGAGGTTAGCACGGGCGAGACGGAGGGGGAGGCGGAGGCGGATGGCGAGGTCAGCGCGCAGGAGCAGCGGGTGCTGGACCGCGTTGCGGAGGATCTGGCGAGGCTGGGGCGCGTGAAGAGGGTGGGGTTGGATGTCGGGGACAAGATTGAGTTCCTGAAGGTCTGGCTGAGGCGGAGGCGGTAAGGGGAAGGTCAATCCATCGGTGCATATCCCTGGGTGTATGTGTGTGTGTGTGTATATTTGTGCGTGTTGGGTAGCCCAGCCCCTTGAATCTTGCGGGGACCGACTATGCACAAGAGCTAGACCTACCTACCCACCTACCTACCTACCTACCTACCTACCTACCTACCTACCTACCTACCTACCTACCTACCTACCTACCTACCTACCTACCTACCTACCTACCTACCCACCTTCTTCCTACATACAGCACAGGGATGAACGACAGCTACCCTCGTCACCCTCGCCCTCCACACACTCGCCCAGCCATCGATTCCCGCCCCGCTACCCCCTCAGTCCCGCGTCTCCACACTGATCACAATACATAATCTTCGTCTCCACACCGCAGAGCAAAAAAAAAAGAACCCCCCCCCCCCCCCCCCCCCCCCCCCTTCCCCCCCCCCCCCCCCCCCCACCCCCCCCCCCCCAATCCCCCGCCTGCTCAACCTCCGAACTTTGTCTAAAAAACAGGGTGTGGTGTGGTCGTCACCGTATCCTCGCCGCCCCCCCGACTC